GACCCACTGTAAAGTCATGTACAGGACAAAATCTGTATGATACAATCTCTGTATGATCTTCTTTATATTTACCAAACTATGCCATATAAAAGCCTATCTAAACCATGTGTATCCAATCTCACAAACTATTGTTGGTGGAGCTAGAGGATATTATACAAGCATAATGTAACAAGCAGGTCATCTTAAAGACCAACTCTTGACAATTTTTAAAAAAATATTGGTTAAAAAAAATGCAAAAATCAACTCTGACTGCAATACTCACCTCCTATTTACAGCTGTCCCAGACAGTAACTCCATTTGGCCCATAGATGTCCTCAGTCTTTCGGGTTGAATGACACTCAGGACATACCTTGGTGCTAGGGCCTCATGACCTGCTCCTGTGCTGCCACAATGGTGCATAGAATATGATAATCTATAGCCATGGTTAATATTTACATTAATGTTAAATGAGAATTTATATAGTTTTATTTTCCTTAAGCCATTTTCTCATAGATATTGTATGGTTAATTCATGTGCTTCCATCTAGTGGTCATTTTAGTTAATTACACTCGGTTATTGCACATGTTTTCTGTGTTCCCACCCATCTATGATGTATTTCCCCTTCTTGCTCAGTGTGGAGTGTCATGGCTGCTTCTCTCAGGACCACATGTTAATCTGCATTGCATGCTTGGAAACATTATCATCTTTGACTGCCTTAAATACCGCCAATTCATTCATCTGCTGTATCCTGTTGTCTGCTGTAACCTGATGTACAGAATAAAGCACCTTTGTGGATGGAAAAGGTATTTGGTGAGTTCAGCTATCTGATAAGGATTGTCCACAATGATTAAATCTGCTTATACAGGCCAGGCATAGAGGTCTCAGCAAGGGATAAATTGCTAATGCAACAATCGGAGTCAGAATAGCTCCCTTAGGCTAGGTTCACACAAGTGGCAGATTTTCTGCCCTTTGAAAAGCAATCCTTTGTGACAACCAGTTAGCAGGTGCTCAGGAGGCGATCTGGATAGGGTAAGTATAAAAAAAAGTGGAGGAGGGGGGGCACTAGGGGACATGAGGATTAAGCCTGCAGTTGGGCGTTAAGTAGACAAGAGATTGCTCAGCCAACCAAACGCTACCTGTAAGTGAAATATCATATTTTTTGGTTTCTCTGGCCCGTAAAAAAATTGGAAGTATATACTGTATTTGAAACATTAGAACATAGAATATATAAAAATATAAATATGTATCAATAGGTATATACTGAATGATCCCTTTAATATTGCCCAATATTGGCATCTTCAGACTGAGATGGAGCAATTTATGGGTGGGAACTCCTGTGAATTTTCCGGCCACCAATATGGTACTGTGAACAATTAGAAAAGACAGGGATACATTTAAAAGAATTACAAATTCCAGATTGGAATCGTCAATGTATTATGAGTCTGATTTAGATCTATAGCCTGCATCCTAATTTCGCCAATTTTGTTTAATTCAAATCTCATGGCTCTGGCCGGCGTTCACCTTATTTGTTATCATTCAATTGATATTAGCTCTAGATCCGTGACACCATGTCTCATCTGCCTATTAAGAAAAAAGATTTGTTTAAGTCATTACTATTTTAATGAAATTTATAATTGCTAATTTTGTGTTTGCTGGTTAGACAGAGAGTAATGATATTCATAGCGAGATCGGTCCTTTATTCCTCATTATTCTGCTTCCACTGTGAGCACGTCAGCGTCTTGAGATAATTAGGAGATTGTGGATTCTAACGAATGTTTAATGAGTTGGCCCTGGTTGCTAAGGAGAGCGTTGTACTTGCTAACGAGGTAGAGCTGTGAGGAGGCAGGTTTTCCCAGAATCCTCCGCTAATCTGGTGGTGAGATCAAGGCTCCTTGCTCTATTGAGTATTAGGTGCTGAAAATGAGAGACCAAACCACTTGTTTACCGTGGTCCTCAAATGGGACAACGGGACCGATCTTCATTACCTGAAGGGTGCTCAACATTTCGAGCATCTGTTTCTTGATTGAATTACTTAAGCTAACGTTGATGGACGTCTCACATGGTTCTTGGAAAGAAAGTCAGTTCCTGGAAATGTGATGGGCCATGAATTCGCCGTATTTGGGGAAGTTTCAAAGTTGATTGTGCATTAAAACCTTCACAGTTTATTAGCGGACAAACTTTTATAATTTTTTCCAAGCAAGGCCTCCTATAGCGAACCTTCTGTGAAGGGGCAACTCATTCATGAAATAGAAGGTCCACTTAACCACACCCCCCCACCTATCCAAATACAAATAGCTGAACAAACCCATTGAGCTCAAAGGGTGGATAACATAATGGTTACTGGACATTTGATGAGTCTCCTGGATGATAAACATAAGACTTTTTGAGAATCTTGGGTAATTTTGTGCCACTTTGAGATGGATACAGATAGTGGGGAGCAGACCTGTCGCTCGTGTTGCCTCCATGACTTCTCACTTTTGGAGTATTGTATCCATACAAAGCAGAACCCTTTTTTTATATTTTTGCGGTCTTTATGGATTGTACTTTTATTTCTCCTGATCTTTCTATTTCCTCCTTTTAGTCTCTGGTATTTCCTTGTCTCTTCCCCATTCCCCAACCCCCACGTCCTCCCAGATGATAGCTCCCAAAATGTCCAGATACAACCTTCCTAGCCTCTATATTTAGCCATATATGCAGAAAGACATTGATTACTATAGAAATGCAACTATATTTGGTCAACTTGCTCCAGCCGTCAAAGTATTTCTCCCATTACTCACATTGGCGACTGTGTTCTCAAAGCGTGTTAAAGGAGAAGTATGGGGTTAAGGCTTTTCCCCATAGTTCTCCTTAGGGTAACGGGAGGACACAAACTAGCGTCCTCCCGTCACCCTAGGCTCAGTATACCGTGAGCTGCTGCTCGCGGTATACTGAGACGCCGCAGCTGAAGCGGATCCCGACAATTGTGCCCGGATCCGCCCAGCTGCGTGACTGACAGCTGGCTCTGCCTATCTAGAGGCAGAGCCAGCTGTACCCACCCCGTCCGTTTTGCCAGTCAGCGCTGGCGGATCGGAGCGGGGAGGGGGGAATCCAGCACCTCCCCTGTCACAGCAGAGAGCCGTGACAGGATCGAGAGGTGAGCGAACGCTGGTATGTGTTCGCTCACCTCCCGATCTACTGAGCCGACCTGTGACAGCCTCATTGTCA